TATATTAATTAATACCTAAAAAGCGCAAGGTGCCTCCTCTTTTCAAGATCGATCTCGAAATGGTAACGGGTGGTTTAAAAATAACTGATTCACTGTGGTTGTTGTTGTTGTTTTACCGTCGGAAAAATTACTAACGCATAAACAGCTGGCAATTTGCAATATTTAAAAACTTCCTTGCTTAAAAGGAAGAATCAAAGTGAGTTACTTTCAAAAAAGGGTCTTCCCCTGAATTTTTCTGCCTACCTTACTAAAGCTTTTAGAGTGTGTTGTGCTGGTGAGCCCTGTAAATTTTCTTGCTGGCACATGCGGAAAACCACTTTTCAGTGGAATTGTATGTGAGCTGACTGGCCGGTATGCAGTTATTAAAACCGAGCACTGAGTCTAGTTCTGTTTATTGCCTCTTTAAAAATTGGTCTCTCTGTGTTTTGCAGGAAATATTTCGTTAGTTCTTGCATACACTTAGAAGCTATCACTGTACCATCTGACTGCTGCTTTGAAGGAATTCATTGCGACTCATTTTACTAAGAACACTCATACTGCATTTCAAGGACTGCACGGATATGCGATAAGCATGAGCGCCTTTTACTTTCAAAGGCTATTCCAAGGACTCTAAACAAATTGTTGTCTTCTGCCCATCTGATTTTCAGCGAATAAATCGGTGAGCGTTTTCCAGACTTCCTTCCTTCACTAGCTCCAGTAAACACAGTTGTCAGTTACTTATTTAGACTCGCTTTGCGTAAGTATGGTAAGCAGATCCCATTCAACTGGCGCCAAGTAGGGAAGTCGGAGGAGGACTGCTTTTGACAGCGAGACAATCCCTGTACAGTTCCTTCATCCGTTTCGATGGCAAATTAGTACAGGCGCGTGTCAAGGAGCAAAACTCACCATCTAACTTACTCAAGTAAGCAAGCCTCTGAAAAGAGTCATCAACAACTTTGCTAGTGGGTGGTTAAACTTAGCACATGTTACTTCATCTCTACAGGAAATGAGTGTAGAAGAGGTTTTGATTCCAACTTTTTAATTTTTCTTCGGTGTGATACTTTTGATACTTGTCTCTGGTCTAATATTCACGAAAAATTCCGTATACCTATATTATACAAATGTTCTCAAATAATACACAAGCGCTTCAATAGAACCATGATTTAAAATTTTTGCTGTTCATAACAGCCAAAAAATCCAATAAGAATAAAAATTAAGAAAAACTTTTTTGAGTCGATTTGCGGATTTTCACTGACATTTATCAGTTCCATAAGATTTAAAACTGTTTTACGGGATGATCCTTTAGCTTTCTGACAGGTACATGCCCAGAAATCAGGTTTTAATGAAATGTATGAGTTTTTCTTCATTCGCATGATACAAAATGTGATGACAGAATCTTGGGATCTGCCGGTGAGAAGGCCCCACTTACCTGCTTCACCACTTTTCATGCACCTCTTTAACAAC